CTGCTGTGACGTTAAGTTACTCCGTTCTCCGCTTGTAATTATGCCGTTACAAGCTTCAAAGTTGTATTTATCATCTGAATTTGCCGAAACAAGTTTAATATTCTGAAAGCCAAGACTTTGTTTATTTGAAATCAGATGAAAACAAACTGTAACGGACCCTGCCGTGTTATCTATGATTACTATACGCCTTAAATTCATAATTTCAGCGGAGGGAGGGGATGCGGCGCTGTGGAAGAGCAGAGATGCGAGTGAGAGCTGTCATCTTCCCTTTACAAGCTTAAAAAATGCCTGTAGCTAATGAGATTGAATATAACAATCAAAAATAACAAAATATACACAGCTAGATCAGATCGCGTTTTCGATGCGACTTTAGAGTAGAGGGGAATTATTGAATCGGGATTGTTGTTCCGCGGCATCCGCCGCTGCGAAAATGTGGGGCAGGGCTGAAAAGTGGGGGGGGCCCGTGGCCCCCCTGCTTCCGGCACCCTTGAGGTGCACCATAGAGAGTATCCTGACTGGCTGCATCACGGCCAGGTACGGCAGCTGAAACTGCTCTCAATCGTAAGGCTTCACAGAGGGTGGTGAAAACTGCACAGCACATCACCAGGATGGAGCTGCCATCCATGGAGGACCTTTACTCCCAGCGGCTCAGGAAGAATTGTTTTAATATTGTCTGCTTATCTGTATTATTGTGTTGCATTGTTGGAGAAGCCTGTGACCTAAGATTATCAACGACATAATTACTCTAGCTATTTTAGTTTGACAATAAAAAACCTTGAGATTCTACACAGCGCAAATATAAGAGATAAGGATACAACTTGACATTTTATGACTTCCAATATATTTCAGATACCCGCAGACTTTCGGCTCTACATTGATTTTGCCCAAAAGATAAATGAAGTATGCTTTGGTGAAACTAACCTGCTGGATGTTCTGAAATTGTGAAGAAGTCAGAGTTCGTCTGGAGGGAGGTGTGGAGAAAGTCCTTCCCTGAGGAAGGTTGCCAGTGCACAACTCAACCCTACTGCGGGGGGGATGCTTCTTTGACTCTGGAGTCTGTGGAATACCAGCATGCATTAAAAGCATAGAAAACACTTCACATCAGCCCAATACTTTGTTCCATTTACATAAGCGCAGCTCTTCTCCAGGCTGACAGGAATGGTGGCCTCCCTGCGGTACAGCGGAGGTGAAGGAAACCCCTTTCTTTCAGCCAGCTGCCGCGGCTCCTGCAGAGAGGAGAATGATTCAACCACTGAGAGACAGGATAGGATTATGTTGCATCTTAAAAGGCAATATGATGCTTCTTACATGAGGCAAGTCCATTGAAGGAACTTTTAGTGCACTGGTCTCCAAGCACTGATCCCCATTAGTCTTACTGGCTCTGCGCTCAATAAGCCTGGTAGGCAGTGGGGTGGACTAAGTGGGGGGGTAAATGAAGTGATGAATTGTCCAAGTCATTTTACAATTAATCAGAACTGAGTCAAAGACAGAAAACTGTCCGCTTACATGCATTGCTTTTGGCAGGACATCAACTGGACTTCCTAAGTCAGCATGTCCTGGTTAGAATAGAAGCATTTATTGTCATTATACAAGTACAACGAGAATAGGAAAGCTACTCCTTTTAAGGTGCCATCAAAACATTCAGAAAATACATCATACAACAAAGACACGCAGCATTCATACATAAAATAACTAAATAAAGGGCAGGAAACTGAAAACTGTCTTTGCTTTAAAGGTCTGGAGCGCCTCCCGTAGGGCAGCAGGTCAAACAGGTGAAAACCGTGGTGTGAACTGTCCTTTACAATGTTGGAGGGATCAGCGAGGGGAGAGGGCAGCCGATGATTTGTATGAATTTTGAGTGTCTTCCCGTGTGCCTCAGTGCAGCTGGCGCACTGTAACTCTTCTGTAATCAGTATGATCAGGCTCTGGATGGACGGGCGGTAGCGGTTAGTTGAGGAAAACCAAATTAAGAAATGAATCAGTGAAAATCTCCAACTCTTAAAATGATGCAGTTACAAATTCATTATCATTGCAGAGATGATACATTTGCAATACTAACATGTGGTGAAAAAATAAGGACCAAGCATAAAAACATATTCCAAAAAGGTCATGTTAATGGTATGATTTGAAAGATATGCCAACGATTGTTATCAGTTTGGTTACTGAGCTTCACAGGATTTTGCAAGAATATGAACAGAGTTTCCAAAGAGGCGAATAGAGGAGGGCGCTTTTATTAAAATAATGTAAAGGCACTTTCCCTATTTGGTCCAAGTTACCTAAAGGGGATGGAGATTTAGATGACCTCCGCTTCAGTTTTTGGTGGACATTGATTGGAGAGATCTCACCCTCTAGAAGAGAGTCCTGAACAGGAAAGAATCATTTTAAAACCTTTAACTTTCTTTATCACTTGCAAAGCTGATGATTAAATACAGTTTCATCCTCTAGAGTGGTTCATTATATTTTCATTGGTTCGCAAAGAGCCAAACACCACCTGCATAAAACTGAAGGAGCCATGGATCTTTGTCACAAGGTCCTCTAGGTGCTGTTTTCTGAGGAAAGGGTCTTTGGGTAAGGCATATGTAGAGTTGAAAACCTCCACAGGCATATCCATGTAAACTGCCTGTTGGGAAGAGTAAAGTTAAACAAAAACAGACATCTTTACCCAACATACACAATTTGCAAATTAACCAGTCTTACTCACCGAGTTGGCGGGTTGCACTCCTTTGGCTCTCCGTTTTCTCTGACACACACACACACACACACACACACACACAGTTTGAACCATCTTTGTTTATTTGCTAGGGTTGTGGGTTCCTGAATACAATACCAACTTGCAAAATATCAATTTTCGTTTAGCTTAAAAATATCAAACGGACACTTTGCCAATAGAAGTGGATGCAAGACACGTTGTAGCATTCACTATCAAAATTAATGTGTGTTGTTGCATTTTAAAAAGGTCTCCTATTATACTATTTTTAGGCATACATTAAAGGTCTCAGATATATAAAAAACATGTCTATGAAGTGTTTTGCCCAAAATGCCAAACAGATCATGCATTGTAGAATGCCTCATACTCAGTGGTG